AAGCAATTTTCACTGCTATAATCGGTTAAATTTTTCAATGTATAATGTCGTAATGAGAAAAATATCAATGCTATAAGTGGGTAGATTCGTCAAAGTACTATGCTTTAATAAGAAAAAAAAACATGCAAATTACAATATTGTCAATAGAAATAAATGGACAAAGGATGCTATCATAAACAAATAATCGAAAGTACATTGCTATTTCTTGCATTTAGCTGTTATAGATTACAGAAGTTTGTAATTCTGACAGATTGAAGCTACTGCCATGCCTGAAGAATACCGATACGAGGCAAGTCTTTACATTCACTTATTGCCCTTTGGTTATACAGTAATTGTAATTCTACATTTATTATCTTTAGTATCCTAGGCTATGTAATACTTTCTTTTGTCTTTTTCTTGAATTTTATAAATAAATTTAATTCTACTTCGGGTGAATTTTAAGCGTTTTGATCCATTTTCCTTTAAATTAATCTCTTAAAATTATCAGTCTCATTCTGACCTATTATTGTATCTTGCAGATTCCAATCCTGTGCAATGACTGTAACAATACTAGCAAAACATCGTTTCATATTCTTGGACACAAGTGCAGTAACTGCAAGTCTTACAATACACGAAGAATTGGGACACCAAACAACTCGTTGGAGCCACAGATTTAACTTATTGGGAATGGTAAATTAACACATCTGTCACTAAATCCATATAGATAGATAGATAGATAGACAGACAGACAGACAAATAGATGTTTTGTTGCTAGATTAAAACCATGATTGTTATTTTTTTCTAAGTATTTAGATTCATGCATTTTGCTACCAATATGTTGTAGAATCGCAAAAGCTCACAATCATAAGTGATGTAGGTTTTGTTATTATTAATGGGTTGTGCATAAGGAGCATTATGTGAGATCTAAATGAGGTAAAATATAGTCTGCTAGGTGGCTGATAGTATATAAGGGTCCAATGTCCACAAGAAGCCCAATCCATATTCGTGTTGAAACTAAGCAACTGTCATGTGCCTTATGAGGGTGAATGGCGTGTTTGGATTTGTTGTCCAAAGTGATTACTAGGACTTGAACTCATGATAGTAAGTTTTAAGTACTTGGTAGAAGTTGATTTTGGTTATGTGATCATAAATGGTCAAAATAATTGGATTTGAAGGAGTATGTAAAATGTTGCTACAAGAAAATCGATTATTGAAATGAATGTGAGTTTACCTAATTATATGTAACTTTAATCAACTAATTATTTGATTTGATCTGATAATCATTTTGAAAAACCAAATGGTACAAGCCGGTAAAACACTTGTTATTCAATGGTTTAGATGAGTTGACATTCACAACTTTAAATTATTCATTATTTATTACTCTATTATTATATTTATTTGTAATATTATCATGTGAACATTACTCTATTATTATATTTATTTGTAATATTATCATGTGAATATTACTCTATTATTATATTTATTTGTAATATTATCATGTGAATAAATCCATGAATAAACTTGATATTCTAACATTCACAAGCAATGTGTAATATGCATTTCGACATTCACAAGTGTCGTCTTAAACAATATACATAGTGTATCTATCAGTTTAAAAAATTGAAAAAAAAAAACTCGAAAAATACATATACACATATATGATATGTGCGTACACTTTTTTTTAATTCTTTAAAACATCATTTGCACTATCCATGTGTTTTGGTTGAAAACTTTATAGGAAAAAAGTATAAAGTTTTTTTTTCTACATTATTTGAGTTATTATTATTATTATTATTTTATTTTTAAAATTTAGTATATA